GGGTGTGGGAAGAAAATATTGGAACTTCAGTATTGGAAGTATATAATTTATAAATAAATATACATACATTGAGGGTGCATGCTTAAAAATTTTTTACTGATAGGTGTGCATGATCAGAAAAGGTTTGGAGACCACTGGCTTAGTACACTACTGTTCTACAGGCTTTTTACTGTTCTACAGGCTTTTGTGCTTAATTTGTTTCACTCCGCTGTAGACATTGCCACTTCTTTTCTTTCCTGCATTGTTACTGTAACTAGAACCAAATCAAAAAGTCCTCCTGATGCAGTACGCCATTAAGGAGGTATAAACAGAAAAGGAGTATGAAGAATAATAGTGAGGTGTAAGTGCAACCTGTTCATCTGCAAAATGTTTGTGTAAAATGGAGTTTGAGTATGAAGCAAGGTACGGTTTGCTTATCAGGATATATGGGAGCGGGAATATTTGCAGTTGTGCAGCACAAAGATATCCTCTCTGCTGTTTTCCATCAGAGCAGCTAGTCTTGCTCACCATCAATCATTTCTGTCCCAACCTAGAGAAGCTTCGTAATTCAGCCTTCCACACCTTCACAGGGAGCTTGGGGGGAGGAGGGGGGAAGTCTTTCACACTATCCTTGACTGGTTCTTCTCATCCCTGTTTTTCCAAAAATAGAGACCCTTTGACTCCAGGGGAAGAAGCCAGGAGTGCAAACATGGCACAAGCCCGCAGCTGTAAGAGGGGCTGCTCATGCTTGGGAATGGATGGGTAATGTCATTCCTTTGGGAGGCAGGCACCTCTGTTTTTGTCAGGAAAACAACTGTTACCAAAGACTGTAGAAGCTTAGTAGTGTCCTTATTGTATAATTTTAATAGGTGCAGCATCCTAATACTATTGATTTTGTAGTGATCAATATTTTTTAAAATATACAGCCTGCTAAAATAACATCCATCACTACAAACTGGGTAACTTGTTGCATTTTTTTCATTTAGTGTAAATTGTTTGTTAAGCATCTGTTGTTTTCTCTGTTCTTGATACATAAATTAGATCATGCTGGTTCATCTTTTCCTGATACATGTGATTTAATAGCAGCAACTCAATCTCGGTCTCAGCTCGATTTTGTTGACCTAGAAGCTGTTGCATCTAATTGGGAAATGTTGTTGTAATAAGGAAGTATGCAGCACAGAATAAGCATTCAAAAAGGTAAAAGCTGTTTCTCCTGAGTGCTTGTACATCTCAGCATTCTAGTCAGAATCCCAAATAAACTCAGGGATTGGGAAGGAGGGCAAACCAGAAATAGCCCTCTGCCCTTTCATTCTGGGGAAGGAGGAGTGCAGAAGTGCTGAGGAGAAGCTGGAAGGAGCAGGTCATACAGCTGCCTATAAGGCTCTTGGAGAAGGCAGAGTAAAGCACCTTTGCTACTCTGATCCAACGATGGGTGGGAGCAAGAAAGGAGCTGCTGCCCAGAGGCCAGATTTAGTCCCAAACCACCATTTTAAAACTTGTCTGCATTCCATTTCAGTCCCCTCGTGAAAGATACTAAATCCTGTGGAGAGTGTGCATTGAAGTGTAACCAAGATGATAGTTTGTTTACGAGGAACAGCTAAAAAGGGTGATCCTTCTCGCACTGAGGTAAAGAAAATGCTGAGATGCCCTGAAAGAAATTATTTTAGAAGAGGGCTGGAAATAAGAAAATCAAGTAAGCTCCTTTTAACTGAAAGGGAGGCTATAATGCTTGTTAGAGTAAATATAAATCCATTCACAGCAGCTTCCCTTTTGAAGAAGGAATAAAGAAATATATGAAGGTCTATTTGTATTTTACAGCATTTCCCAGAGGTGCAAGATTATTGAACAAACAGTGTTATTTACTAGATGTAGTCTTCTGAGATGCCCACAAAGGATTCCTTTTATATTTCCTGATCTGTGGTTTTAAGAGAATAAATCTTTAATAGCATTGCGTGCTAACTATTAGTTGGCACAGAGAGAGTAATCTTTCTCATCAGTTAGAACTTGTTTGAATGAAGCAGAATGTGGTATGGTAGAGCAAAACAAAACTTCATAACTCAATATGGAAGGCAAAAAATAATAGTTACGGTTTGTCTTGGTGTGAAACTGCACACCTGCAAATGGAAGGGTAATGGTATGAGTTTCTGTCCTTCTGCACAGCTTGGTAGGAAAGCAGGGAAGTGCGTAGCAACACACTGTCCCTTGCAGCTGGGCCAGCACCAAGGTGAAATCCCTCAAAATGGCACTTGTGGCACTTTCTCCTTGTAGCCAGGGAAACCAGAGGGTCAGCTTATACATCTCTCCCAGTGCCGTGGCTGCGTAGCTGGTGTCGACACACTTGCAGGAACGCCGTAGAGTAGGAGAGGGTGGCTGGCAGGTTGGCATCACGTACTCCAGCCACCTCTGATGGGGATCCCTGGTGTGCAAAGTGGTCCAAGATCATTCTCAGAGAAATGTAAGTGTGGCCATTGCAGCATCACGCTCCTGTTAGTTACGCAGGCTGCTAGCTTAGCCTGTAAAGACCTTTGCAGCTGAAAGCAAAAGTAGTTCTCAGGTCAGATCAGGTGAATTAGGCCCTGGATCAGCAATAGCTCATTGGTCTGTGAAGCACAGGATCGTAGTTTGCTAATTTTACACAGGTAGCGGTAGTGATTTTACTAGGAATTTGTTTGTACAGTATCAACAGGAGGGGAAAACCTTTTGTTCAGATTTTCCTGGAAGATAGTCTCAGCTGATCTGTAATATTTTTGGTGCCATGTAGAAGTAGAGGCGGCTTTTTCTACAATGTGAAGTTGTATATTAGATCATGTATTTGGTTACACAAAGTATGGACTTCTTTACATGATTTAGTCATTTATGTTATAAACCAGCATTTGATCATCTTTCTTCTTGTTGTAAATAATTAACCATAAAGTATTTGACATAAAAAAAAAAAAAAACCCTGTAAAATGGGAACTCATATCTCTGATATATTTTTCCCCTTCATTGACACAGTTTTATATGCTGGAAATTATTTATGATGATATGTCCGATCAATTTTTCAGCCCACAGTCTGACATTCTTAAAATTACAGTGATATTCCCTTCAGGGAAAGAATAATATCTGTTTTCCCTGAACTAGCAATCTTTTCAAGTTCTCTTGCTTTTTCTTCCAGTGCAGTGCTGTAGTTGGCAGGTGAGGAGTTGCTGGAAGGTGAACTGACACTATGAATGTCAGAGGTCAAGCCACGTGTAGGAAAGTAAGAGTCTGTCAAGAAAACAAGTTAACCTTTTTTATGGAAACCCTCTGATTGTATCGTTATTGAGAACAACATAGTCCTCTGGCTGGGCTGTTCATGCTTTGAGAACGGAAATAAAAAAGGAAACTTGAAGAGGTTGTACATTTGGCAAAATGCTTATTATTGGTTGCCTAAAGGGGAGTGTTGTTTTGGTTTTTTTGGTTTTTTTTTTTTTCCCAATCTCAGTCCTATTTGAAAAGAAAGATTGTATCCTAATGATTTAGCAGGGTACATCTTCTAATTTTACTTGAGTCAGACAAACTGAAGCCCTCAGCTTACTTTATAAGCCAAGAGGTGTCACCAAATGACACTATTAACAAAACACATTTTCTGTGTCCATTCACTGCAAGTACTCTGTAGTATTACAGTTAAGTGGTCAAAAATAGAAGTTCAGTAGCTTTGAACATTTTATATCAAAGAAAGCCAGTGTTTTAAATACTCTGAAACAAAAGCATACAGCTGTAATTCCAGTTTTTCATTCTTTTCTTTTTTCTTTTTTAAACTGAAGGCTGGAATTCCTTTACAAAAGATTAACTTCAGTTCCTGAATTAATTTCAGAATTATGGCCACAATAAGCCTTTTTAAAGTGGCTTACATCAAGTTTTACTTTAAATAGAAATTGCCCATTCATGGCATTAGCAGATTTATTTATAAAAAGAGTCATGTTTCTAATTTTTTAATGGAAATTAGTCTGGAGAATTTATCTTGGGAGAGTTCTCCTATTTAAAAAAAAAAAAAACTTTGAAAAAAAAATCACTGCTAAACAGGCAAAAGTTTGCAGAATTTAATGTAAGAACAGACTATTTCATCAGTGAAAAATTACTTTGAAAATGGATCATTTTGCAAAACAGAAGTTTCAGTCTTCAGCCCATCCTCAGTCCCGGAGAGGCCATCCTTGCAGTCTGTGTATTCCTGCTCTGCTCCTCAGCATCGTTTATGTGCGTCCAAATGTGCCCTTCCTGTGAGAAACCTTCACGGCAAGCACTGCTTCCAGTGGGAGTATGAGAGGGCATTTGGACCAAGGGATGTAGCAGGGAGGATTTGGCTGAGTAGCAATTTCACAGTAAGGTGTTGGAAGAGCAAAATGCAAGCAGTCTTACAATTGATGGGATATTGAGCTTTTTTTTTTTTATTTAGGAGTTTTTTATGCACAATTATTTGCAAGTACTCCATCAGGTTTCAGATTTTTTTTGTTAGTTTCTGCGTATTATTTGACTGTCTGCCCAGGGCTTACGGAACAGCTTTGTAGAAGAGATGAGCTTCTTATCCTATAAAACTTACAGTTGGAGCAACAAGATTTGAATCACAGCAATGGAGGTCAGCTGTCCTCTTGGTCTCTGACTTCTTTACTCTTCCACGAAAACAGAACTCATGTTTTTAATATTGCATTTGTATTCCACTTGAAGTAAAACTGTGGGTATCGTTTTTGCTGTATTCTCCATTAAGTAAATTTACATGAAGATTATGTAAATATTGTACAACCCCAGGGTAAAATTGCAATATCCTAGTTCACACAGAGCTCATAGTACCTATTCCACCATTTTCTTCATTCGTTGCATTGAGTTGACTTGAGAAGGAGGATGTAATTCAACAAAGAGCAAGGATAGTAAGATCTAAGTGAATGTGATCAAAGTCTTGCAGCTCTAAGAGCAAAATGCAAATTAAATTTATATTATCTGTGGTTACACTGCCATCTAGTGATATAAAGATTCAATGTCTTCTGTCTTTATTTTGTTTTCTGAAGATTAGCATCTTCATGACACATTTGTCTAATTATGGAAACGACCGCCTGGGGTTATACACCTTTGTGAATCTGGCCAACTTTGTTCATACCTGGACAAACCTGAAACTGCAAACTCTTCCTCCGGTTCAGCTGGCTCACAAGTATTTTGAACTATTCCCTGAGCAAAAGGACCCTCTCTGGCAGGTAGGCAGGCTTGCTGATGAAGAGATCAGAAAAAAATCTTCTTGATGGTGTTTTTTGTGAAGTTTTTAGTTTCTTGTAGAGAAAAGCAGTAATATTTTTAGATTTACTAGTTGGTTCCATAAAACAGCTTACTGAAGCTGCACTGTACATGACTGTTTTTCGTGTCACGTAAATCTCCGTAGAAAGGTTGTGAAATTAATATGTAGTAAGATGTGTAATGAAAATTATCTTTAATTAATTTTATTTGTGACTTTACTTGCTTTTAGAAATGTGGGAAGTGCAGGAAAGGCACGCTGGGTTATTTCTCTTCTCCTTTTGGAACTAACAGGAATGAAGCATTTGACAGAGAGATGTATATGCATATTTTAGCAATTGGCCATTAAAGAAATGAACTTTTCTCCAAGTGTGTGAGGAGAAGAGGGCATCCAAAAAGAGAAAAGAGCGTTAAGACCGTGGCTACCTTAATGCTAAAACTGAGGAGCCAAGTAGAAATAGATTAGAGAGATTAGAAAGTTAGTCACAAAAGGCTGAGAACTACCCAAGCAAGAAGTTTACTAGCACTTAACACATTGATGTTATCAACTCTGCTGCTTGATTATCCCACTCTTGTAAGTGAGCAAATCGGACACATCAGGAATGTGAAGACCTGCTAAGGTTGAAGCCTGCACTGACCTTGCAGTTGACACGACTTCAGCCCATCACCCAGCGCTAAGAGCACAGTCCCTAAAAAGAAACTACCGCACCGAGCGGTGAACGCTGCCATGTTCTTTTTGCACATGCTCGGCAATGGTTCAACCAATTCACTGGAATGTCTGAGTGCTTTAGGGACATGTGTCCCTACAGTGATAATATGTATCACAAATATCATTCTTTTGAGGTGACTTGGTAGAAGTATTCTAAGGAGCAAGCTTTACTAAATCAAACATAAAAATGTAATTTAAACGTGCTTATTCAAATGTTTTCTAGCACTGGATATTGAATTGCCAACTTAGACTCTGAGTATGAGATTGCAAATTTGGACTTAAATATACATCTTGAAATTCATGCTGTTATTGAATAAAACATTGAACGAGGGGAAAAATGTCAAGAATTTTGCATAATGTTAAGAGAGAATGAATTTTAAAAATGGAATTTTTGTCTTGTAGCCAAATGACCTGAAAAATTGGAATTACTTAGGAAAGAAATTTGTAAGGAACAGTGACTAACATATACTGAATGTGGTGTCTTTTGTCTATAATGCACGTGAATCTGAATACAGTTACATTTTTTTAAGCCTAGAAGATTGGTAATTCCTTTTGTCTCAGTGCGGTACTGCCAAACAGCGGTGTCAAAAACTGTTTGCAAGTAGCATATCTAAACCAAATTTAAACTGCTTCAGTTGTAAAGCAGCACATGAAAAACCAGCATTCAGTATTATGTACTGATTTGAGCTGGAGGATCAGAATATGGATTTGTGAATGGAAATCCTTAAATTATAATTAATTTACTATTTTAGTTTAAAAACTACAGCGTGCATAGGGTGGTAGCTGTTACAGTAATGTAAAAGAAAAAGTAATTAGATAATTCATTAGCAATTTTAAGTCTTCCTAATTTGTATGTAATTGATCAATTGATTTTGAATGATTCCCACATCTTAAGTATGTGGGATCAGATTTGTCTTTGGTGTAATTCTGCTGAACAAACTAACATTTCATAGGAGAAATGATCTTGTCCCAGGGTCTGTTGGGTAGCTGGGGCAACTGTAGATATTTATGAAGGAGTTAGAATGTAAACCACATTTCCTCAACACACTTGTCTCATCAAAAAAAAAGACACCATCACTTAAAAGATAACCGTTTCTGGCCTGGTTACTTGCAAATACCTTTCTGAATCACTGAAATAGTTCTTTAATACATAACATGGTTTTCTGTCATAAAGAAAAATAGTATTTCCTGGTAAGAATATTTGTACGTTGGTGAAAAATTGGTAATTTATATAAACATAATTTGAGAACCTTAGCAGGTGTGATTACCAATGAAATTCTTAGTTATTCTTCTCCGTTTTAGAATCCCTGTGATGACAAACGGCACAGAGATATCTGGTCTAAAGAAAAAACCTGTGATCGATTGCCAAAATTCTTGGTTGTAGGACCCCAAAAAACTGGTGAGATTTTATTGTATTTCAACAAGATAGTCTATGTGTAAGTTCAAAGAACTACACCAATTAATCACTTTTTACTCAGACTGCTGTGTAGAGATATTGATCATCTAATAGCATTTTGTTATTTTCAGATACAATCCAAATATAGTTTCATAATGTAAGTTACAACAACAGACAGTACACTTACTGAAAATGCAGGATTCAGGTGTGTGTCAGAATTTTTTGGCTTTATGTCAAAAGAGTAACACTTTGATAAAGAGATCAACAAGATAGACAAGATCTTGTCAAAGTGGAAAGAGGAGAGGCCAGCCATTTTTCAAATGGTGTAGATTCTTAAGTGCAAGTTCTTGTCTGTCTTGCAAGTGTCCTGTTTATAGAAACTTGTTATTTCACGGCATTTATTTCAAGTCAAGAAGTTCCTAATGGACAGTTTGAATTGCAAGGTGGCAGTAGTTTATAAATTAACTTAATGGTTAACTTTCTTCTCTGTAATCAGAAAATTGCAAATGTACTTCCTTTCATCTTCACCAATCCCCAATAGCTACTGAGTGCAAGATTTTAAAATTATGTTTGTGACAGTCTCATAAAACCCAATAATTATTTTAAAAACATAGTTATTAAAAGTGTGAAAAACAGATTTCAGCATTGGAACTCCAGTTTCTGTGTTAACTATTTACAGTTCTTTAAATGTCTTCAATGTAAAAGCACAGAAAGCACAGATTCTTAGGTGACATAAATCAGCATCCCCTCACTGAAATAAAATGGAATAAAGCTGGTTTAGTCCTTCTGCAAGTATGACCCCCCAAAAAAGTGTGTGTGTGCATATTTTTTTTTTTTTAATCTTGGGCTTGTATCCTATTTGCAGGTACCACAGCCTTGTATTTGTTCCTGATCATGCATCCTTCCATCAGTAGTAACTCCCCCAGCCCAAAAACCTTTGAGGAGGTACAGTTCTTTAATAGAAATAACTACCACAGGGGGATTGATTGGTAAGATGGGTTATTAGTATAAATATAAAAGTTTATATATTGTGAACAATACAAAAATGACATTACTGTTGGTAATGGTAACTGTTTATATAGAGAGTGAGACAAAAAAAATAACCTTCAGTGTCCTTCTAAAATGATAAATAAATGCAAGTGAATAACAGTCTTACTATAGAGTATCATAAATGCACTAACTTTTCTGAGGCTTTCTTGTAAATATCCATATATTAATATATGCAAAACAGTAACAAAATATGTATTTCTCATTACACATGCCTTTGAAGTTGGGACAGAAATGGTTGTTAGTTGGATATATGGAAGCAAAAATTATGTTCCTGTTGGAAATCTTATTTCTTAAGAGATAACAAGGTAATATCAGGGAGAGGCATTTTTTCCTTTAAATAGGATTTAGAAATAGCAATCAGGTAAAAGGTGGACGGGGAAAGCCTCTCAAAATGTTTTTCAAAGACCAGGTAATTAGGAGAACGTTAGTGTCTCCGAAGGGTTAGTAAGTGATGCTAAAAAAGAATGTATTCACTGCTGCCACATTCACTATGGCTACCAGGGAATCACTGGACATAGCTACACCCAGGAGGTCATTCCTGATTTCTCTTACTTTCAGAAAATGCTTGAGTATAAAGCACTACAAGATGAAAAGTGGTAACGTGCTGTAGTGGCTGGGGAGCACCAGTGAAAGATTATTGATATTTTGTCTTGTTTCTTTTGCCCCCGCCCCCCCTAGTTTAAGGGAAGATAGTTTTCTTGCCTTCGACTTTGTATTCATCCATAAAGTTAACAGGGTGAACACTGTTATAGGGTCTTAGTGCAGATATGTCAGATCCAATTTCTTTTTAAGTCACTTAGTTTTTACAGAGTTCTAATTGTTGCAGCAGATTCTTATTACAAAGTGTAGAGAGTCAGCCAGTTATTACCAATAGAGAGATGCCAGCTGAATGACTGGAAATTAAAAAGCTGACTCCTTAATGTGGAGGACAGAGGAGTCAGAGAAGACAGCATGCAAGTGAGGTATAGCGGGTCCACACTGAGGGAGACAGCCTAAGTACAGTAAGCCGGTTCTTCCACAAAATCAACGTTTTCCTGTTGCTAGAAGACCACTTTGCTGCTTCTCTCATTCCTCCTGCCGTATCCACTTTGCTAACACGCAGATACAGTTTGTCTGCTAGACGTGTGCCAAATTGCCTTCATCTTAACACAGCGCTGGTGCGTAAAGTTCCCGGTGGTGAACCTGTACAGACCAGGTACATCCTTTTGACAGGTTCTCCCTCTACAGCACCCGTTTGGCTATTTGTACCTCTGCACTGTGTGCCCCGCTCACCCCGCCAGGTTCTCACAGTTAAGTCTTGGATACTCAGAACTACCCGTTGGTGTAGTTACTTAACTCTTAGATTTGCATTCTGTCTGCAAGACAAATTTCTCAGACCTTCAGTCTGATAGTGTATTTTAATGCTGGCATGTAATGAGCTTACCAAATGGTAATGAGATACAAGATCTCTCCTCGTTAGTCCATTAATTGACTAGGATTCTTTCAAGGCAAGGGTATTCACAAATAACAATCAGTTCAATTTCTTTTATGGTTATGGAGATACAGGTTTTTCCCAGAGCTGATTGACTTAGTCTTTGTCTGAGCTTACATTTAGACCAAGGCTACTACAGAAGCAGGAAAGGGTTCTTTCAGCCCTCAGCAACCTCAATACTGCCGTCTTGAAAGAGGTATAGATGTATATTGTAGTGTCCCAGTAGTGATAACAGAACAGTAAGATGAGAACTGACCTTTCTGTTCTTGAAATGAAGAAGTCTAAATAGACCAGTCATGCATTTCTTTATGCAAGTATTGTTACAGATTTCTTAAACAAATTTCTCTAAAGCCTTCTCAGCTTTGCCCTTGTCGAGTTTCATAATTGTCTTATGAATGAGGTACTAAGCAAGAGTTCTGCAGTCTGTGTTCAGCAGAAATGTTGAGCCTAAACTTTATAACCTCTTGGTATCCCATCTTGTCCAATCCCTTTACTATTTTTCACTGAGACCACATCAACTAATACTTTTTTCAAATTTGCCATGTTATCTGAAGAATCAATTAACTTTTTCCCAAAATGTGGCATAGTGCCATATTTAATGTTAAATGTTTCCTGATAAGTTTGGAGTTCTCATTGCCTTGTATTCACTCAGTCTGCTACCAGGACTTCAGTACAACAGCATAATGACACCATACATGATCTAGAGCAGATTTGCCTTTAGTGCCTATTGCCTCTTTCAAAGCTGGACTTTTTCTTTGCTGTTGACTTTCTGGTAAAACATTCTGAGGTCACACAGTCAGGTTGGGTCATTAGTTTCTAATAATTTTATTTGTGAGCAGAAAATGGTATAACTTCATAATTTCCATCAAATCAGCCCTCATATTTTTGGGAAATAGAGTCCATTGTTTGTTCAATGAAATAGTATCGTGTTCCCAGATATTTGCATTAGCGTTAGGCAGATAAAAACAATAAACTAGCAAGGCAGTGACAGCCTTTCATTCTGTTCTGTTTGGTTGTTCTCGTATTTCAGCTTTTTTACATGCAGTCTGCCTGTGAGACTAGCAATAGCTATGCAGCGTAGTAGCAGAATTTTTGAGTGCAACTTTGAGCATATTACACATTCGTGACCCCTTCACATGACATCATTTAAGTCTCTCTGATACAAGGTAATCTACCAGCTGCTACTCTTCAGACCTTGAATGAATCCACAACTACTATTCCTTGTCTAGCGCACAGAAAATTGTCATTGGAAGGTCAGCCTGCTTCACTTGCACAATTCTGATGACAGGTATCCATTCACATGGCAAAGAAGCACAAAACAATAACTTAACAATGTTTGCTTTATGTATACATAAAAGTTGCTCATAAGAATTAACTTCTCAGAATCGGGTGTCACAGAGTTCAGTTTCTTAAAACCACTGTAGATTCCTTCCTTTTCTCCAAGTACCTTGCAATCAGTGCCTGTGTGCTAATGATCATCTTGTGAGATCTCTGTCCTAAAGAAAACCGCATGTACATCAGTCTGTTCCATCCTACAAAGTCTTCTGGCATTGGCTGCAATGGTCACAAATTCAAAGCCCACAAGAGCAAGTCATTTGTATTAGAAGTAGTTCACTTCTATGAATAGAACAAAGTCTAAGCACTAGAAGAAATTTCAGCATGATCTTCAGAAGAGGTTGTTTTAAATGGCATTTATTTTATCAATACAGATTTTAACTGAAAAATCAAGACGACCAACATTTCCCATTTATTCTTTGCCCCAATAATTATGAAAAGTGGTCTGAGGGCCATGTCTGTATGTGACATAGCAGATTGCTGGAAATTAACTGCAACTTCATAACGGATGAGGAAAGCTCATGAAGAAAACTAAAAGGAATACAACCCATGTTTCCACAAAAATGTGACTCATAGAACAATAAGTGAAAGATGCAGTCACTGCTTAGAAACCTTTCACCTGATGAAGTTGTGGGAGGCTTTTTCAGTGCATCTTCCCCACATAAGTGAGCTCTTTTCTCTTTTGAGTAAAAGCAATTTTGATATGAATATATTTTTCTTATGGTATTGCACTGTAATTGATGTCAGCAAAAGGCCAGATGTGGAAAACTCATTTTCTACTTTTGACTTAGATAGGAGTTTGTTCTGAATGGAAAGTGAGAATTCACTAATTTTAAGAAGATACATGAATATCCTAACATTTTCATCTGGTTTCCAAAAAATAGCTGCAATATCTAGTTATATGTAGTGAGAAGAAAGCTAGTACCAAGTCAAATATGATAAAAAATATAATGTAAACTTCTCTTGGCTTTTATTTGGCGATTAGGCTATTATTTTAATTGATTATTCTAGAATAAAAATATACTTAACAGATTTGTCAACCTTTGTGTGACTTTTAAGTAATTCTGAAAATGATGCTGCTTTCCTAGGTACATGGATTTCTTCCCCACTCCTTCTAATGTCACCACTGACTTCCTCTTTGAGAAAAGTGCCAACTACTTCCATTCTGAGGAAGCTCCTAAGCGAGCTGCTTCCCTCATCCCCAAGGCCAAGATCATCACCATCCTCATTGACCCATCTGATCGGGCGTATTCCTGGTACCAGGTATGCACTTTGAAGAACACGGGCAGGCACAAATCAAGGTTTCCGCCTTGAATCCTCTCTGTATATCCTTTCAGTATATATATGTATGTAAAGGGTTTGGATAATACAAGCTTTATTCGTTAGTCAGTGCACCATATATGATCACCCATGGGCTGAGGTATCTGTCAATGTAAACCTGAAAATCTTTTAAGGGTTAAAATACCAGAAACCACTTTTCAAAAGTCTGTCTGAAATATAAGCATGTAAAAATGCTTACTTACTCAACTAATTTATGTAATCAGCACATATAAAAATTAGTTTATAGACACAGTTATCTAGTTCATGTTCAAAATACAAGATAGATAAAGACATTTTTGTTCTTCTGGTCTGCAGATTTCAACAGGAATTTGGCAAAATAAAGATATACAAAAAAAAAAAAAAAAAGATAAAATTCCAAAGAGAACAAAGTTCTTAGAACTTCTACGACATATTTTATGTTATTTTTTGATGAGAAGTAATCACAGTCCTGAGTCTGCTCACATAGCTTACCATGCTTTGTACAGGAAGCTTGACTAGAAACCTACTGAGACCTAACTTATCCAATGATCCTTATAAATACCCGTGTTCAAATTTGCCTTTCTGAGTATTTACCTTGTGCAAGCTGGAAAAAGAAAATACGAAACTAGTAGAAGCAGAGCTGCTTAGTATTTGTGTTTATTATGTCCCATTCATTTGTACAAAACCTGCCACTCAGTTTATTGAAAATAAACATTTATACATTATGTTTTGTTATTGCTATTATCAGTCTAGCTTCTGATTTCTTTTGATACAAACAATATTTATTGATACAAGCAATGTTTATCCCAGCATTTTCAATGAATTAATACAGACAAGGACTTCTTAACTTTAAGTAACTTTTAATGTAAATAATCGCTCCTAGCAAGGTCAGTAAGACCAGGTCAGTAACACCAACTGGTTTTGTCGTATTTTACCAACTTTTGTGGTCTGTAAAGTTCCAGCAATGTAACTTCTTTTACAGCATCAGCGATCACATGAAGATCCTGCAGCTCTAAAATTCAGCTTCTATCAGGTGATCACAGCTGGACCTCGGGCACCATCTGAGCTTAGAGCTCTCCAAAAGAGATGCCTAGCACCTGGATGGTATGCTACCCATATTGAAAGATGGCTAACTTACTTCCCACCTTATCAGGTGAATAAGACTGTAACTTGACATCCTAATCTTAGAGATATATATGTATAATAACCTAGAAGATTACCTTTGTAAAAGTCTTGCCTACTGAATACTGATCCTCAGGGTTATCCTAGATATACTAGAGCATGTTTTAAGACATTGATTGTGATTCTTCATAGCGGTGTTTTAAGTAGTTGGTTGACATTGCTAGGGATGTCATGTCTTAGCACCTTACAGCTGGGAGCTGCTCCTGCAAAACAAATCAGAACAATGATCTGGAAACTCAAGAAATGTCACTGCTGCTCCTTGAACTCTCTTGTACCCTGAACTGTCTTTAACTTGCAGCTGTTTTTCATTTGCTCATGCTTCATCACTCTATGTCTGGCTCTTTGTCAGTAATGTTGAGGAAAAGAGAACCAGGCATGCAGTGCTTTGTCGTCTTTTTAACATCAGATGGTCCATCAGGTTTCCCAAAAGAAAAATTGCAGGACAATAAAGGGAAGCTGCTCAATAATATTTGTCTGCTCTGAGTGGTAGCAAGTATCAGCTAGCATCTAGGAAAGTCAGGTGGGATATTGCCCTCCCTGCATGGGTTGAGAAGATTTTTGGTGTCTGAACACTCTGGGGTGTAAAAAAGTACCTTTTCCATCTAAAATGAGGATTACCACACGGAAATGGATGTGACCTAGTTTTTGTAACACCTTAATATTTAAACGCATCAGTGTCTTCACCCACTTCTTGGTCCTTTCATGCAGAGATTTCCCACTGTGTCAACCTCCTTAGGCTATGATTGTAGTAGTCAATAACCTTGAACCTCTTCAAGTGTTCAGACACTGTCCCACTGCTGTCCATACTGCTTGATTTTTAACACACTTCTGGCACAGTTTGGATCCATAGCAAAGAGCATCTTGCCAAGCAGTTCCAGAGCACAGTTAGAAAGATAACATGAACCATTACCATTGGGGAGTGTGGACACAACCAATTTGGTTTTGCAGGTGCGAGAGTTTAGCAACATGGATCCAGGTCATCCTGTGCCATTTGGCCTTCAGACCAGAAAGCTGTCTCTTATTTGTTCTACTTAGCAGTATAGATAAAGCCTTTGTGTACATCAGTGTGTTTGCCATCTCAGGCATCACCAGTTTTTTAGGTGAATTCATGTTTTGCCAAACATGACTTTTCTGTAACTGTCAAAGCACTGTGTCTCTTTTGCACACTTTGTTTTTGGAAATTCCTCACACATTGTTGCCCATAACAGTGCATCCACATATCGGAGCCTCTGTTGGGACTTACTCATGCACTGAAACAGTTTGGTGTGTTGGCAGTCCTGATCATCTACATTGGTATCTGTCACTGATCCTGAATCCTCAACATATTCCTTGTGTTAAGACCAGATTCTCGGTGTGTCTTTGAGCCTCAAAGGGTGTGTGCTTATGGACCCATGGGTTTCAGTACAGGTGGCACGTAAGCAACCTGAAAATTGGATTTTCCTGCAAGTTTCTGTTGGCATATAACATACAAATCATTAGCCTCCTTCTGGCCCTGTGTAAGATCAAGCCTCAAAAGATGCACATCCTGAGCCTTGAACATCATGTGATATACAAGACCAGGCAGACAATATCACATGATCAGTATCTCCATGGTAGATTTATTTCTGGAATGGATTTTTCTGACATTAGCAGTGTGTCTGGCACTACTCCCCACCCAACATTTAAAGATTGCTTTAGTTGAGGGAGGTTGGCTGCAATCTGAACCTTCTGTTTATCCAGGACTCGCTTAGCTGAGACAAGTTGGCTGGAGTCTGTACCTTCTGTTTTCCCAGAGTATGCCAAGAAAGCTCTGATGCATCTAGTTGGTGTTATTCTCTGCATATTCTGTTTTGGGCCAGCGTTGCAGACTTCATGAGATAGACAATACTGTAATATCATGATAGTCATACAAAATTCTCTACATTATATTTTCGTTAGCTTTTCTCCAAAAGTAACCCATGAATATTGAACAATATGCATTGTCATACAGATTTTTGCCAGATTTTACATGCCACAATGACAGAGAAGAACCAGACCTGGTAGCCTTATGTTTTCTCTGTAAAAGTACTAGGGATTAACTTGCTTTGCAAAAGCAACGGTATACAGTAGACCATATCCAAACTAGTTAGCAAATTCAAGGAACTGCTGAAGCATAAAACAGTTACATAAGGCAGAACTAAAATCAGCTCAGCTTAAAAGTACAGCCTTATTTAGAAAATGAAAGCCTTCCTTCACCAAAAGAGCTCTCACCCAGACTAGCTAAGGCTATCTATAATTTTCAGTGCTGTATAGATTTCGGGGTCTCTACACTTGTGAATGAATTGAAGTCTTAACGTCCATTTTGAAGTCAGCAGGCATACAGTAAGTGGTAGAAATAGCAACACGAATAGGTAAGGTTCCCCTTTTTATTAGAAAAGTGGTAACAGCACACTTGTCTTACATGGTAAGAATTTGCAAATCTCTGAGTAATCTCAGAGTACTTTGCAAATTTGGAGTTCAGATGTTTAGGGTTTTGATTGACTTAATTCATCATCTCGTAAATCATACAAAAAGTCCTCTTTTGTCTGGCCACCAATACAGTTCCTGAGAAGTTCAGGAAGCTGATGTCTCTTAAGTTAGTTTCCTGCCTATAACTCATTGCTTCAGTGCAGTCATACAGAATAAAAGAGGACCTAGCATGATGAACTTCCTCATGAGCCAAAAGATACGCTCATGCGCCAGCTCTGTAGGAAATCAAGCTGATTTTGCAACAGCCATCGTTAAATGGCCAGTCAAGCTGAAGGACTCAGGCTGTTCCTAAGCTGTTCTCTTCTCCAGACTGTCTCTCTTGCTCCTCTCCCACCATGGTGACTTTTAGACACAAAGGAACTCGTGTATAGTGGGAGAGCAGGGACTTAATCTCTTCAGCTGTCAGAAATATTACAGTAAAATGATCAATACACTGTAAAGTGTTTCAAAATACTTCATCTATAGTATATTCATTATACATGAAGTTATCCACTTTGTAAAGATTACACTATTTAATTTTTCCACCTCGCCAATACATGAAATGCCTTAGATTTTGAGGAATTTCATGAAATTACATCTTCCTGAGATCAGGATATGAATAAATCGGTACATGTAAGGAAAAACTTTGCCTCAGTTCCTCACAACCTCCCTGAAGGTTGGGAGGGAGCATTTTTTGTTACCTGTTCCCTGAAAATGTCAGGAATTGGCATGAATTTCCCCTGGTAAAACTTCTTATGTGTCTTTTTTGGGGTGGCAGAAGTGGGAATGGCACAGATATTTATCTCTATGTGTTTTTTAAATAGTGAAGAATAAAGCCCTCACTCCTTTTGTTTCAGATGGAAATATCCCCCATTTGGGGTGTTTTGTGACCTCTGTGCTGTGAAGCACTGAAGGCCTGTTTTCAAATTTTACATCTTAGGAAAGTAGCAAGTTCATTTTTGGACTCCGGCAGTCATCATGCATCTGATTGCAAAGACTTCTGGAATGAGCTACTGCTTTCTGAACAGCCTGATACTTCCACTAATCCACATCTCTAAATCCACATGCTATATATAGGTAATTGTAAAGACTGATCTTCCAGAAGAAAAGATATTTTCTCCCTTTTGATTATGCTCTGAAACCTCATAGTCTTGGAAACCTCTAAGTTTCATCCAATCCTGGAAGCAATTCGTATGATTTCAGCCTCTCTGCTTGCATGGAAGTGTAAAAACCAGCTTCAGCACTGCTTGCAGAAGGAGGTTGTTGAACCATCTGCAAGTCTATTTCCTCCCTCCTTTTCCTCACTAAAGCAAGATGGGAAAAGTAGAGGTGTCTCTGTGACAGGAAATGAATTCTTGACTAATCCATTTGGGGACCTTGCTTCTCTTCCAACAGTCACAAAGACCCAAACTTCCTGCACCATTAGTGGGTCATTTGGGCATGATACCACATTTAATAACATTCTCAGGTAGTGTCTGTTTCCCTGAAGATTCACCTCCAGGTGAAAGGGGGGTGGCCCTGTCCGAAGTAGCCTGCTGTGAGTGTGTATGTGGTCAAGCACTTGAAAAGAAGAAAAAGAAATTATCTACCAGTACCTGGCTTTCTTAGCGATGCATTGCACTCTGTATCTGTCTATATCCCTGCCTTAAGGTCCTCGTAACATCTGCCTTTGTTCATATTCTTAAAGAAGTTTTTTTCATACAATTATGTATCGTTGTATGGGTTTAGAAGTAAGGCATTTCACCTAACATCTACATACCGGTTTCTGTCTTTCTGGTCATTTCCAGTGACAAGCTTTTCAACATTACTGTAACATATACGTATATGATTGTGTCTATGAGAATTATAGGTTATTTCTCTGGACATTAATACCTTTTTCCCTTGGCTGGACAAATCTCATCAATTTCCTGCCAGTATTTCTTATCTTTCTAGATCCTTCACTGCTATTTCTCTGTTGTCATAACAGCTTCCAATTTCATATCATTTCAGATTTAATTAACATGCTATTTACCCTGCTCCCAGGTCATTAATGATGATGACAATTAAAACCGGACCACTTACCATTCTCTGGGGCAGTACTCTCCATATAATGAGTGAGTTTGACAGAGGTGGAAGTTTCAGTTTGAAGCTTGAAATAATGAATTTTAAATTAAACTTCCATTTATTTTATTTGTTGTAGTTGCTAATTATTGATGGACAGCAGCTGAGAACTGACCCGTCTACCGTAATGGATGAAGTACAGAAATTTCTGGGAGTCTCTCCTCATTATAATTACTCTGAAGCCCTAACGTGAGTTAATTTGTCATAATTTTCACATGTTCCTACATTCCTAAAATACTGGTTAGTCTGCAAGTAAGCTCACTGCAAAATAAAGGCTCTCATACTTCTCCTTTGAGCTGTCAGTAGGATGTATTCTTCAATGTCTGCAAAGAACAGAATTCAGGGTTAGATTTTCTGTGAATCATCCACTGAGCCACTTGATGTGGAGCTTGACTGTTACAGAAATAGACCTCTGACAAACGGACAAAGTAAGTATTGCTTTGTGAGAATTGCATATGAATTTTGGATGAATCAAAAGGAATTTTATTTCCAAAAGTGGACCATAGAATGCTGACATGCATAAACAGAAAGGAAAGAGAATTAGTTGCTCTTTATTTTTGACATTAGCTGCAAGACAGATTCAACGGTATCAGTCAGGAGCATAACATCCACTCTGTACATCATAAATAGCCATGTACACAAATCCTTTGGATTCTGACATTTAGATTTGGTTGCCCTTCAAATAAGTCTGATAACCTTAAGTTTACTCTTTTGAGTATTCAGTCTAAACTTGGGAGGTGCATCCTCCTTGCAGTATCTCACGGCCTTTACACTGCAAAATATTTGTTTCAGGTTCGATTCACATAAAGGTTTCTGGTGTCAGCTCCTGGAAGAAGGGAAAACAAAGTGTCTTGGAAAGAGCAAAGGTAGAAAATACCCTCCTATGGATTCTGAGGTAAACCATTATGCTCATTGGCGTTATCCAGGGATTCAGTTGCCACGTATGGGACGCCACATAGGCAAAATCATAAGCAGGGAGAGAAGACAAAATTCAGTAGGTGTTAATTATTTGACTACCTTTCCCTGCAAATGAAATGTTTAATGTAGCTGTGGAGTGCATAGATGCTTTCAGTTCTTTATTTCAAATGTGAAGAATTTAAGTCATTAAAAAAACAACTTTTACAGCTTGGCATGCCTTAGAAAAACAAACTTGGCACCCCTGAAATTCCCTTGGAAACCTGTCCCCTTTGCCTAAGTGACATAAGCAGCAGAGGATCCACACTGCATGTTTTTTGTTCAGTCATGATCAGATACGTGTATTTGGGTCTGGTGCCTTGTCTTTGAGAGTAGTTAGACCATGACAAGTAATGCAGACTCTCATATAATCCAGTTTTAAGAGAGGTTAGGTTCTGTTTCTATGAATTTTATAAATACCTTCCCCAGACAAATGCTCAAATGAAGAAATTTCCTTTAACCCAAATGCTGTAGCCTGTACCCAAGGGCAGTTTAGTCTCCTAGCTGTAACTTTTATGTTTATTCTGCCCTGTATTCCCATTTCATTTAACCTAACTAAAACACAAATAAAAACTTACAGTTTGAACAGCAGGAAATATTAACGTGGCAAGTAAGGCGGGATTTTTTTCTCACAGGACTTAAATTATAAGTAACTTTACATCAATAGAATCATATTGATGTAAAATCATTGAGTGAGAAGGCTTTTGGCCAGAGACAAGACAAGACTGTGTTTATTGCTGTGTTTTTCAACTCTAAATACTTCTGAAAATGGGGTTACTAATTGATACATGCCTACATACAAAGATATTTCAGAAGCTTTGGTTTCAATCACACTTCAGTAAATTCAAAGTAACTATACCAGCTTCAGTGCAATTCTTAATTTACATGACTGAGAGTAGAATCAGGTCCCTTGCTTTGACTTCCGTGTTCATTTTGGACAACCTTTGTTTCTCTTGAAATGATCTTTACAGTTCAGCTCCTAACTGAAGAGCTTAAACTTGCATGCAGTAGATAGCATAAAACAATATAAATTGCATAAGAGAAAGTAAAGTTTTGACACAGGTAAAACAAACTTTGAAACCTAGAATTCACAGCAACTGCAGTACAGCATTTTATTAAACAAAAATATCTCCTCTTGTATCCATCAGTGCAGGGCTTTTCTGTCAAGCTACTACAGAGATCACAATGTGGAACTCTCAAAACTCCTACACAAATTGGGACAACCCCTGCCATCGTGGCTGAGACAGGAGCTACAGAAAGTAAGATAGCATTGAAAAAAAGGCTTTTTGAAATCTCGCTTCCACGCTTCAGTCATCATACCTAAAGTCTCCAGTAGCTACCAGAAGGTCTTGTAAGATATACCTCTTCAGAAAAGAGTAAAAGATAGAAATTATTTCCATATGCTGGCATGTGGATTGTGAAAATACATGTGTTTCTTAGAGCTCTGGTTGGCCAAATCTTTCTCATAACCATTTCTGGGCCTGTGGACTTGTGGACTACTGTGCACATATGTGGAAGTTATTTGCAACTGGTATAAGCTTCAGAGATACGGTGACCTGTCCGATTTCACGGTAAATATTTACATTTTTATATATCAGTTTAAAAGTATTGTGTCTCATGTAGGTTTTGTAGCCCATTGTTAGACCACTGACAGTTTTTCTTACTATTTGATTATTGTCTTGCATAAAATAAGAAGACTTAATGTAGCACAAAATGCCAAGTGTACTTCTGCCTTTGGAATCAGCTTGCTAATACCCAAAGTATATACTAACAAGGGTGAGAAGTATAGTTACCATATATGATTTAGCTGTGCACAGCAACAAAATACACGGAGCAAAGTCTGGAAGCCACAGGCAAAAGCAGTGTAGAAAAAACCAAACACACACACAAAAAACATTACCTGTGATTACAGCCTGTAACAACAAACCCTTACAATGTGGTAAGGGCCTTTGTCCATAATTAACTATGTCTGATTTTTTACTGACTGAAATGGCAAAATACAGAATATAGCCATTAGCTGAACAGAAATTTGATTGGACACGTGAAGCACAAAAGTTGCAGTATAATCCTTATGAGCAGTATTATATTTCAGGAATTGTGAACCAAACTGAAGCAGTGCAATGAACAGGCTTTCACTCCTGGCTTCTGTGAGCAGCCAGATCCGGATAGTGCACTCTGGGCTTACATTGCTGTGAATCAGGAGTGACTCCACTGAAATGAATGAAAAACTCAAAAAGAGCAAAACCAGATCCATACTTAGATTGCCTTAATGTGCACCACTATTTTTTGCTTAATTTATTTGCCTTCAGTCTATGCTTTGTGTATTCCAAGATCCCTCGACCTGATCAAAATTGTGGCATCTTTCAGTAACCTTCAGTTTACATCAGCTGCAAAAATCTGTCAGATTTCCAGATGAAAATACTGGTTCTGGTTCCATCTGGTTCCAGATATTTTAAAGATGTTTGGCATTAAATATTAGGAATAAGCTTTAGGGGGAAAAAAATGAACACAGTGTGTAATCATGGTAGAAAATTACCCTCTAATCGTGGAAAACACAAATATCCAGCCTTACATTTACGTGGTACATTTCAGTGATACATCTCACAATGCATCAGTTTAGATGTGAGATAAAGTCTAATTCATAGTACTTAAAAATTGAGAAAGAAGATCAATGAACGCTTCAGCTGAGTATGGTCTCAATGCTTCTCCACTGAACTTTGGCTCTGAGTGTTTCTAAAGGCATGAAGAGGTAGTGAAAACAAAAGAGAACTACGGTACTAAATGCAATGCTCTTTACAGTAGCTCTGTAATGTTATCATAATTTGTTTTAGGGCAAATGGTTAAAAAAATGCATCAAATAGTAGAAAAACTTTCTATGTCTCAGTGCTGTTTTACGACATTTATGTAATCATATACTTTAACTTTCAAGGTAATGCAATGGAAACCAGTCTGTTATTCCCTAAGTAGAAAACAGATGTTGAGATCCTTACTGTACCTCTAGCTGGTAATCTTTATTATTTATTGATTTTTCTCTGTGTAATACCCGGTTTTGATAGGCCTGTAAAGAAAAAATCTAGACAAATTTGCTGTATATAACAATATTCTTTACGCAGCACATTTTTGCTAAGGGAATATGCATGAAAAATGATGAGGACTTACTAGAGTAGACATTTTTTAAGATGAACCTCTTTATTATTTATTAGACAGAATGAGGATTTTCATTCAACTTTAAATATTCACTTTAAATATTCCACTGTCATATGGATTTGTCCCAAAAGCTGACTTGTCTTAAAATACTTCTCATTTGATAAAAGAAACACTCTGGATTCTGGACACCTCTAAAAGCAAATACTCTGCATGCTATGGACAGCTCATGCGTCCTGCAAGCATCTATATGGATTTGTTACAACTAAATTGAATAACTGGAGAAAATACCTGGGGTTTTCATCCTGGCATGATTGATTTTACCCTTGACATAACCTGACGTAACATTACTGACATATTTTTTAGAAGTCCACAGGATTGCACAAAGCTCCTGTCTTGTGCATTTCTGCCTCAGTTACTCCATGTTTTTCAGAGCAGCAGTTACAAAATAGAAAAAAATAGGAAAAACTGTGGGCGCTATCAAGTACCTGAAGTTTTTACGGTGAGAGGACCCTCTGCGCACAAACTGAGTGCCTCCTATGTGCGGGAGGGGTGGGCTTCAGCCACATTCATAGTTTGTTTTTTGTTTTCAAGAACTCCCTTTCTGTATTCTTTCTCTGGGAAATCAAGGCCCCCGCAGAACGAGAATGAGTGGGCAGTGAAGGACAGAGTGGTGATGGGGACATGCACATTGGTCGCATTGTCCCTCCAGAAATTTTACAACAGACAAGGTGACACGTCTCAGATCTGTGGACTACTTCTGTGAAGTCCTCTCTGAGGTCCGGCAAGGAGCCTCCTACAGCTGTTGGTGATCTGGTAAAACAGCCCAGCTGCAGTCACCACGTAGCGCTGGGAGGATGAGTCCCCCACAGGCACCGCCTTGGCCGTGGCTGGACTAGGCTAGGCTTGGCAGCTAAACACAAAGCTCATCCTCCAGGAAGGAATGCCATGGTGACCCTCAAGTCCTGATGAGGAACAGCAGGGTGGAGCTCTTGTATCGTCCCAGTGCCCTTCCTAAGGGAGGGAACTGGGAACAAAATGAATGAGTTCCTAGGGAAACCTTCAGCGGATTCCTGTGGTAACTTTACCTGAGTTGATACTGTGAACCAAGTAGCTTGACCTGGAACTGCACATCTGAAAGAGCGTGATCTTGAATCTGCGTAAGTCCAAGCTCCTGTTGAGATGCAGCTGTTAAGCACTAGCATCTTTAGAAAAGGTGCTGCGGGATTAGCTTCTTGTACACTAGGCGGGCTAGTCTCAGACACAAAAGCGATGGAGAAGTAAAGGCAGACTGCTGGTGCTCTTCGCAGTTCTGAATTTCTGATGTTTGCTTATTACTTGTTTATACAAAGATGATACGAAGCCACTTTTTTTTTTTTTCTCCAGAACTATTCTATTTAAATATGTTCTTACATTTAACAGGAGACTTTAAAAAACTGAATGACTTTTAATGTGCAGTCAACTTGGTGAAGAATGAAGAGTCTGAGCAAAGCATGCAGACAACAGCTAGATGTGTTATCCCCCAAATCATAGGATGCACATGAGTACAGCTCAATAAGCAAGTCATACAACATGAATTATCTGACAAAGTTTAACCTCTTCTATTCACAGCTTACCTACAATCAGTGTTTGATTTCCAGAGATAGACTATCAATAATAACATTCTTAAAAAATACTGATTCATTACAACCCATTCATATTTGGTAGTCGAAGTCAGGTGTTTTATTGTGGATGGTAACACAGCCATGGTTTCTGTTCCCCTGGCAGATAACTGCACAAGCAATTTCTTTAACAAATGCTTGATTATGGGAGCTTCACCTTTATTTTCATAAATATGATTCTGAAATTTGCTTTCTGCAGACATCTGTGCCATTAAAAAATCAATGTGTGATTATGAGCAGAAAGTGACCGTTAGGGGGGGTGTAAACACAGAGCCTGATATGAAATCCCTTAATTATTTGAGCAAACATTCCTGAAAATACTGTGATATTTTCCCAGTTCCACTTGTGCAGAAAGAATTAGTTTCAATGATTTGCAGACTATCTTGTACAGAATATCCTTTTTCATTGCTTAAAAATGTGAAACTTCCTCAGGAAGAAATTAAATAGATATTTCAATGTTTATAGATGTAATACTCTTGTCATTCACATTGAATGAAAATTGCTGGAAACATTTTTCTCAAAGTTTTTTAAAATAAAAAATAGATATTATTCTGATAGTGGCATGGTATCTGGAGTGCAACAATAAACTCTGATAAGAAAATGTAGTGCTGTGTGGAAGTGATTTTTATGTTCACAAAAGTTGTCCTTTTCCAGGTTTGTTAGCAGCTATTGCAGCTTGACACTGAGCTACAACACAGTCCAGGAGCACGGGAGCAGCATGAAATGTTTTCAGAAATGAAAAATATTGCTTATTCTCCCTGTGAGTGAATATTACTGCTTTATGCAGCTGCTTGTTTTCCTGCTTTTGCTTCCTGCTTACTTTTTATTTCTTGTGCCAGAAATTGCTAATGTGCTATAGAAACATTTCCAGAGCTTGCTGGTTTTAAGATAACAAGCAGACTTTATTCAAATTATTTGCCTTTGGGGATTCATTAGTTGTGCCAATGTATCAGCCTACACAGACATGAGAAGACCTTTCTTAGGAGAAGCCTCTAAAGATGGTATGAATGTCCAAAGGAAAATTCACTGTTGTCAACAAATTCAGAACAGAATAGAAAAGTGTACTATCTAGCTGGGCAAAAGCTGCTTAATATCTTCATAGAGGTGTAGAAAATAGGAAACCTATGTTAACAAAATATTCCGTTCGTTACAGAGAAATGATGCAACCTGTAATTTAGAAGTCTAAGCTTCTTTTACAATACCCATCTCTCTAATCTCTAAGAATAACGGAAGTGGAACACTAAAGTAATAACAGAAAGGTACTCAGCAAAGGGAAAAGATCCTTGCTGCAAATAACATCTGCCTGACCTCTGTCTCCAATTTATCTGCTTTCATTTTAATGTTTCTTTTCAGTTCTTCCAATCCCAAAATTCTTAGAGCTCAAAGACAAAAGACACTTTTTTATCTCTGTGGACCGCATGGATGAAGAAAGTACAACAGTCAGCATCAAAGGACAAATCACA